GTGCCCCAAGCACCCATAGCTTTGTATTCAGTTGTTCCACACTCATGGATGTTTATCAATGAGTATAGGTCCCTTACATGTGACATCATCAAAGCAGCTCGATCTGGGGGACAATTCAAAACAACAAAACAAAAGAATTCCAATCTCCTGAGAATTGGAACCTATTGTTTTGTCCTCCAGATTGAGCTGCACTCCTAATTCTCTCTGTTGTCCAGGTTGTTTTTCCTCTGATCATAAAAATGAAGACAGTATTGGTACAAAATGGGAGATAGATCCAAAAGTGAAGGACTTCTTTAATAAGCAACAAATATTGTATGATTGCTTCAAAAATTTTACAACGGTAAGTTTTGCAACAGACATTTAGCTTCTCATACTCATTAATAATTCATGAGGCAACCAACCAATCAATGGGCTATTTTTGGGTCACATGTTACTTGAAATCTGGTAAAATCATGCGAAAGGAATGCATTCAGTAACTGGAACAAAATTAATTCAGTCCTAGGACTGAATTAATTTTGTTTCAGTTACTTCAAGTCGAATAATTAATGAGCATGAGAAGTTATTTCAAAGCCTCCAATATCGGACTGGACAGAATTTCAAGTCCGATTGCGCCTTGGACTAGAACTACACAGAATTGCACCTCGGACTAGAACTAATTGCTTGGACTTGAAATCCCGTCCAGTCCTCATTGTTGGCTTTGAAATATAACTTCAAATTTATAGACAAATGGATTTTAAAATTTTATTTGATCTCATTCCACAGATTCCAGTAAATCCAGCAGCAAACACGTCATCTGCAAATACGACCAGCATATGCAAGTTCTGCAAGCCAAACTATGAAGACTTAAATGATGTATATAAAGACTTGATAAACCAAGTTGGAGGCTATCCAAAGGAAAACTTGCTTTGTGCTGATGTTATGTCTGCTGTAAGTAACAATATAAAAGTTATGATATTAAATAAAGATAAGGTGCTTATTTGGTGTCTTTTAAGTTTTTATAGAGCTCTGAAACAACGTCTGGGCTGATCTAAGTCAGGGCATGGCTAACTCACAGATTGAACCCTAAAACAACGTCTGGGCTGATCTAAGTCAGGGCATGGCTAACTCACAGATTGAACCCTGAAACAACGTCTGGGCTGATCTAAGTCAGGGCATGGCTAACTCACAGATTNGGGCTGATCTAAGTCAGGGCATGGCTAACTCACAGATTGAACCCTGAAACAACGTCTGGGCTGATCTAAGTCAGGGCATGGCTAACTCACAGATTAAACCCTGAAACAACCTCTGGGCCGATCTAAGTCAGGGCATGGCTAACTCACAGATCAAACCCTAAAACAACCTCTTTGCTGATCTAAGTCAGGGCACGGCTAGTTCACTTATATTTCTTAATTTTTGCGTGTTAGATTTTGCGAAGGAAGTACAGCTCGAATAACTTTGCTCACGTATGACGCGAAGTCCAAGAATCGACACTTCTAGCCACTGAAAGCAATGAGCGTGGGCCACGCTTCAAAGTAAACGAGTGTAAATAATTTATATATCTATTTTACTCGCAGATGAACAGTACCAGACATAAATGGAGTTCGACATTTGGCTGTATCAAGATAAACTACGACACAGCATCAGTTGTTGCCTTGACTTGTCTTTTCGCTTTTCTACCCGTTATATTTTACTCTGCAGCAAAACTTCGTGGTGATGAAGTTGACAAAAAATCAAGTAAGTTCAAGAAAAAATCTTTCCAAATTGTAATTTTGGTATAATAAAGCCCCGTTTACACTGGCGATTTTTGCGGCGATTTTTGCGGCGATTTTTGTGGCAAATTTCGGAAATATGAAATCTTTTGTCTCATCCTTCAAAAGAGACATTCGTCTAGGAAAATCTTGGTATCCTGAAAAAAAACTTTACAATTCTTTACCATTATTTATTATGGACAAAATCGCAAAACAAATCGCAGCTAAAATCGCCGCAAAAATCGCTAGTGTAAACGGGGCTTAATACATCGTTTGGTTCTACATGGTGTTGGGTGATGGCAAACCCTATACTTCTACATCTACTTCGAAGTCGTTATCGTTAGCAGCATCAGCATCGTCATTGCCATTATCATCGTCGGTCATCAGCATCAGCCTCCGCATCTTTGATATCATTGACATCATCATCATTTGTCATTATCATCATTATCATAGTTATCTTCATCATCAACATTGTCATAACCCAGGGGCGGATGTCGTAATTTTAGGAGGGGGTAACCATTACAAAGGTCTTAAGAGTAAATTTTTTTCAATAACGAGCAATAATGGCAAAAAGCGCTAAAAACTAGACCTTTGTATGAGTTTTGATCCCAATTTTCGTTTTTGGTTAACACTCAAAACCTTTTTTTAACAGTTAGAAACTGATGTACTATGATAAAATGCTTGTTTGAAGCGGTATTTTCAATCGTACAAAGATGTTTTGTTGCATTTGTGTTAGAATGTTGCTTTGTCAGGCTTTTTTTTTATAGAAAATATATGGGAAATAAGCAAATGAAGGCCTAAACCTCATTTTCGATTCAAATTTTTGCTTTGGGTTAACACTTGGATTCCACTTTCATCGGTCATCTCCAATTCCAAACAAGTTCAACTTCTGAATAACAAGATTCTAGCCTTGTACAACAGCCTTTCTTCAAGAAAATAGTTTTTGGCGCTCAMTTCTTGAATACGAAAAGAATTCTCTCTTAAAAAAGGAATTCGAGTTAAAAGGAGGGTGACTAGTCACCTCTTTTACCACCCCTGGATCTGCCCCTGTCATCATCACCATCATCATCATCATCATTATCGTGACACCATCATCTTCATCATCTTCACCAACATCATCAACATCGTCAACATTGAAATCGTCCCGTCATCATAATATATTACTTATTTTTCATTTTTTTATCCTTACAGGCTATAATGTCATACCACAAATCAGTTATGACGCAGAGTAGCGCAGGGCATTAACACATAAGCATGTCAAGAGCGTTTTCACTCACGTGACAAGGCAGCCATATTGGAGTAGCAAATAATAGAAACTTTCTGCACAGTATTTGCATAAAAATAGAGTTCAATTTCCAGAGGATAGAAAATGTATTGTTTTGGTACCCCATAATGGCCGCTGTGACGTCACGTGAAAACGCTCTATACAGTGTTTGCAACTATGTGACTCAAAATCCCTTAAGATATGAATAACAATGAAACAGCCGACATATTCCTTGATCTAACAAGAGAAACTAATGAGGAATGCTTCGTTATCGTCAACCAAGATGGCGACTATGACGTAACACGCACATGCTATGTACCCCTTTTCTGCCTGGCAACAAGGTTTTCCCATTTCAGGAGACCACATGTCATTCTCTTGAGACATTCTCTTGAGAATGACAGGGCAGAAAAACGGTTTTTGGCCTTTGGCCATAAGGACAGCTTTACGTATTTAAACTCAATATTTTGCAAACACGTTCTTTTGGAGCCAAATAGCAAAATATCAAATGCGACCAAAATTTATTGAATGTGTATTTGAGATATAAAACCGTGTACTTTGGGAGAGGTGATATTTTGATCAGCAGAAAAAACTGACATTTTCGTGAATACTAAGTCAGGATTTACTCTAATAATTCGACAGAATTTCATCACAAGTTTCGAGCAGCAGTGACACAAATGAAACGCTTAAAGATATGGAGTATTAAGCTCAGTTAAATAAAAAAAATCGTGAAAGTAGCGGGGTTGTCGTTTTTCTGCCCTGTCCTTGAGAATAAGATGTTTGAGTTGAAACCATATTCATGCGTCTTCTCATGCACAACCGTTAAACAAAGAAATTATACTCTAGGGAATGACATGTGGTCTGAAATAGAGTAGACTGACATTAATGCTGGAGAAAATTGAACAGGGTGGATGTAAGACTAAAGGAAAGAAGATAAGAGCGCGGTTATCGTGTAGTGAACACTCTTACTTTCACACTTCAAGCTGAGAAAACCGTTTGGCCAACTTAACTAACAACATAATTTGACATCGGCAATCGGTGTCTGTTCCATCAAGTATATCATAAACACATTTTAGATTGTCAGGCGTAACAACAGTAAATAGGGAGGTAGACAATGAATGCTGGATCGGTGTATTCTTCTTTGTCTGAAACAGAAAGTATTATGGCCAAAGGGGTTTACTCTATTTCCGAATGCTAATATACACCTAATTCAAAAAACGTTGTCATCGCCAAAGGCGATAGGCGATAGGTCACTCAGACATGTGAATGGTTTCGTTGAATACAAAGAACATTGAATCAGTCTCAACACTAAGGTCCACGTTCTTGACGAGAATAAGAAGCAGAAACACAAGTCATTCCAGCTATTCTTGGATCTTGGAATAACCTATCTCCTATCGCCTGTTGCCTATCCGCCTTTGGCGATGACAACGTTTTTTGAATCAGGTGTATATATTAAACAAACATACCTGTTTAGTACTTTTCCAAAGTGTTGTCTTCTCATGGTCGAGCTTGTTAAGAGAAAATAGTATAATGTTCTTAAATAACCCTGAAACAACCTCTTGGCTGATCTCAGTCAGGGCATGGCTAACTCACATATCGAACCCTGAAACCACCTCTGGGCTGATCTAAGTCAGGGCATGGCTAACTCACAGATCGAACCCTGCAACTGAACCTCTGGCCTGATCTACGTCAGGGTACGGCTAACTCACAGATAGAACCCTGAAACAACCTCTGCGCGGATCTACGTCAGACTCACCCGCTGGCCCAGATATATATTGTTTTGAGTAAAATAGATAATTTTTCTGGAATCAAGAATTAATGTGAACCAACTTTTACATGAATATACTAATTTATGCACAAATATCTGACCGGTTTTACATATCAATTTTACTAAAGAAAAGTTACTAAAATACACTTTTCCCTTATCCCAAGTTTATGAGTTTATTTTTTCAGTTTTAGGAACTTAAGCTGAAAAAAAATTGAAATTTTCTTAGGACTGGAGAATCTAGTAAAAAATCTATCAACGCAATCGCATCGGATCAAGTTAAAATTTACAATTTCGGTTTATAACCCCTTAGGATAGTCGACTTTGTTTTAGTCTAAATTTTATAAATAATTCTTTACGAGATAGATAAATAACCGTTTACCCACTAGAGGTCAGAAATGCTTCAATGATTTTGTTCAAATATACCTTAGGCAAGAATCTAATTCGGCGCTTTTTTGTTCTGAAAAGTTTTTGTTTTACCTTGAAATTTCCGGTTTATCGAGTTTCGGAAAATGTAGCTGTTTTTAAAATTAAGTTTGGTGTTTATAGAGTATTCTCTAGCAAGCCATGGCATGAAATCTGATGTTATATAGACAAGTTTTTTTCGTTAATGATATTTGTTTCGTACTGAGTTATTGTCGCTTCACCAGCATCACAATCTATCTAAAAAATCAGTCAATCGATTCAAATCTGGCAAATGGTAAAGTTTATCAAGTCCCATTGCATAACACAAGCGAGTAAGCAAATCATCGTCGATTGATTCGGCCAGGATTAACGTATCCTTCTTGGTCAATCCAGTATCAAACATCGCGTGGTTTTGCTGTTTATATACTCCTGGTATTTGATTGTAATCCTTCTTTGTCGTAGGACAAATTCTTGGTTGGAATGTACCTGGGAAATAGTGCAGTGTTCCATTCGTTTGATGTGGTCTTGAATTCAAAAAACCATTTCTGTTTTGAGATTCTGGTTGGAAGTTTCCATAAGTAGCAGCCATTTTCCCGTCTTTCTTTTTACTCGGCTCGAAGTAGAAAGTCAAGAAAACTGATAACGAGCAGCTAGCCGTTCGAAAGAGAGGAAAAACAAGTGAACAGCTCGTCTTCTATAGAAGATTTTTGCTTGTTCTAATTCAATTCAACTAGTTTCTCCGCGGCCTCTAGTATATCGTCGTCAGTTATCGCGTAATGAACTCAGCTCAAAGCGAGCTTGTTTTGAAAATAAGTCTTCAATGGAATAACAAACACACATAAATCTAGAAAAAAACAAAGAACACTAGATAGCCACGGTGCTTTGTTCGCTGACAATGGTTCTAACAATCGTACGATCAAAATTCTTAATGATGCATTTGTTGTAAGAGCTATTTGCAATTCAAATCTTGTTAAAATGTGCTCTTTACAATTAGTGAATGGCTAGATAGTTGCTGAAATAAAACACGAAGAAAAAAACAAAAAACAATGAGGCAAAATATACGTAAAGTCAAATCTTAAAAACTCGATGGCGAAAGATTTACTTGTTTTGCAAATTAAGGCGTTTTGTAGCGATTTTATAACATTTTTTCTAGAAGTTAATTCTATTGTTACGAGAGGACGAGCGAAGCATGTGCCCGAAGGTGTGAAAGGAATGTTCAAGGACAAGAAAACACCCTCGAGCACATACATTTAAAACTAATTAATAACATATGAAGATAGGCTCTAGGCTGAACATCACTGCCACTCTTTCGCTTGTAAATGAATAAGAGTTACATTGTTTAGCACGTGGCATGGACACCTTATTTTATACAGCTCGTGTTCAACTACCAATTTACTAACGATTGAGTGAAAAAGTCAATGTGGTTCAGAATAAAACTATTTCACTCTCTTGTAAAAAAGAATTCTAACCAAGATCAAATTGTTTATGTTTCCTGTAACAAGTCTTAACGGAGGTATCTCATTTTTAACTAGCCTTTTTCCAAATTTCAAAATGAAGCGTTTATATGAGTTGAGTCACGTGGCGGTGAAACGTCCAACGATCGGATCGACGGTTCGATTCCTGCGAACGTTCTCTCCCTTGTCTCTCTTGTCTCCCTTTCTCCCTCCGTAAGAATTAACATGTGAGCTAAGAGTCGTACACACACTAAGAGTATTCATTCAGGAACCTAAAAGCACCTAAAACCTAAATAAAGGTTAAAGCGTTAGGGCGAGGGTTTGCATTGAAATTCAATATCAAGGCCCTGCGTCCCTCGATGCTTTTTAGCTTTCTCTTTCTCTTTTACTCCGACGAAGGACTAGCGTCCGAAACGTCAGTAAGTTTTTTCATCTTTTCACGGTGTATAATGTAACCCTTTTATCATTACTGTTTCATTAGAAACACCGACGCAGCTCACACTAGTTTTTAGATAGCTATCTCTGCTTTTTAACTGGTTTAAAAAACCACCAAGCCCTATTTATAATGTTTGACGGGGGGTAAGAATTTCGATCCCGGGTTTTGAATTCAGCCCCGCTCTCCCCTGTTAGTATCAATGCTGAATTCAAGACCCGGGACAATTTTTCCATCGAAATTCAAACCCAACATCCAACAATAGAAATAGGGCGCGGTTGGTTTTTACAAAAGAAAACAATTGGTTTAGAGTCTCCTGTTATCGATTATGTATGCAATTTTTTCCACGGGTTAAATGAAATCAACCTAACCTTATTGCCCAAAATATCCCCCAGACCGCATCAAATAGGCACTTCTGGAAAACGTATATCGTTTTGCCTCGGGAGCATGCCCCCGTACACTTAACCTCCTCTTTCACATAGTGTGTGGTGAATTGCGTCAAACACTGGCGTTTTACCCCTTTTCTCACATTCCTTGATCCGCCTCTGTAAAAGTCGAGAAAAAAATATGCAGTTTTTGACTGCTTTTTTTTTCCTGGTGGGATGGTCGAATTTAATCCTATCTAATCACAAAACAAACGAACCGACGAACGGAAAATAACATATAACCATAGCAGTAGCAGTAGCAGTAGCAGTAGCAGTAGCAGTAGCA